TTTGTAAATCGAGAGAGTGGACTCAGCGTCTCTCATTCGGCCTTATGTGTCTATGATTTGAATTCTGCTTCCCGCGGAGGAGAGACGAGAGTCTAGGTCGCACCCTTCTTTTCGTTCAGCTTTTTGGAAGCGTGAAGCAGGGAAAGAGAGAATTCGAACAGCCTGGCGGAGACCAGTTATCTCCCGCAAGCTCCCCTCTCCCACCCCCATGGCTTGTGACAGGTCGTATATTTGATTACGCAAAGTAAATTGGGAAATCATATCTCTGCAATCCCATCTGGGATTATTTATTTCGCCGCGTCCGCAGCCAGTCAAAGTCGTGAGACCGTACAATGTTGAGTAGCTTTCCACAGGAGGAGGTGCGTTCGAGGTCAGCGCTGGAGAAACCACAGCCACAGCCGGTCACAGCAAAGCACTTCTGTTGGGATGCTCAGACGTTTCCAAACGTCAGCCGACACCCTGGGCGCTCGCGGCAGGTTGATTTAGCAAGGCGACTTAGGCTGGAGGTGGAGGGAGAGGGTTCCTGCTGGCCCCCAGCTCCTCTGGAGGCTTCCGAAGCTGCAAAGTTGGGTAGAGTAGAGAGGAAATCGGGCCTCGGATTTCCCCCAACCTGGGGCTCTCCACAGGCCGGTTCAAGGAGTTAAAATAACAACAAAAATAATGCAAAGTACTCCCAAGTACTGAATGCTGAGTATGGGCGGATCACCGTGCCAGGGCGTCTACGCTCATCTCCTCCCTTTAGGTGAACTCCATTTTGCAGTTGAGAAAAGTGAGGCACAGAGGAAGGTTAAGGGGTCTCCTCATTACTCCCAGCCAGGGAGGGGCAGATCTGCATTCTAACCCGCCTTTGTCAAGCTCCGAGACCCTGTGCTCGGCCTTCAAGTTGGGCGGTCTGCGCAGAGTAGGGGCTGAGGTGGGGGATCTGTGGGGGAATGCTCGGGGCAGGATCAACTCTCCGCGATTAGCTCTGTGAGTGAAGTGGGAGGTGGCAGGGCCAGGCTGCAGAAGTCGGGACTCTGGAATGGGATCCGAGCCTATGTGGCCACGCCAGAGGGACATCACGAGAGCTGCGTGGCTCCGTGGGGAACAGGGTGGGGTGGGATTCGCAAAAGGAACTAGATGGGTGAGCGGGAGCCAATTTGAAACTCACTTTCCTCCGCCTTTATTTTATTTTTAAATCTGTGGCAGGGTGTTTGAGGAAAAAAAAACACCTTCATCCAGGAAACAACAACAAAAAAGAATTCTCTCTCTCTGTCTCGATCTCCCCCCCCCCCCGACAGGGTCTCACTTCTGTCGCCTAAGGCTGGAGTGCAGTGGCGCGATCTCGGCTCACTGCAGCCTCGACTTCTCAGGCTGAAGCGATCCTCCCACCTCAGCCCCCTAAATATCTGGGACTACAGGCTCGTATTTTTTGTTTTTAGTAGAGACGGGGCTTCGTCATGTTGCCCACGTTGGTCTCAAGCCATCCACCCGTGTGTCGGGCCTCCTTCTTTTTTTAGTTCAGTTTCCCTTAAGTGGCTCGCTCAAAGAGGGCTTCTCACTGGGCAGGTCCGAGCAGGGCCAGAAGGGGAAGGGGTACAGGGTAAAAGAGGCTTGGGGTAAAGGGAGAGGGAGACAGAGGGGGAAGGGGACTCCTGGCCTGTCTCCACCAGGGCAAGCCCCGCCAGCTAAGCTCTGTGGGCTGAGTTAAAAGCAGCCCAGTTGCTTTGTAATTTACAAGAGGGACTCCGAATTGTTCTTTGTAATTTGGTATCGTTTTACAAGGCAAAGGACTTGTTTCCTCATCTCACCAGGTCCTCAGTCACAGCCTGACCCCTTTTAAGAGAGGGACCTCGAGAGGGGAGCTGGATTCCTTGAGCAATCGCCTTTCCATCAAGTTTTCAAGGCAAGCCTTGGCCGAGCCCTCCCGGGCTGCCTGTGCTGCCACCTCCGGAGGAAATCCACGTCTGTACTGAGCTCCTAACCTGTGAAGGCGCGCTAACCTCGTAATTGCTGAGCCGGGCCAAGGAAGGCTACTCTTTCTCCTTTGCAGATGAGGCAACTGAGCTTCAGAAAAGTAATTTAAGATCACCTAGCCAGTGGAGCAAACAGCTCGGGCGCAGGCCCTCCGACTCCGATTCCCTCTGAATATTTAGTTTACTAAACAGTTTGAGCAGCCGTAGATTCCTTTCACAATCCGATAAAAACTATGATAGTTATTCCTCCCCTTTCCCAAAATGTACATATTTTCGCATTCAATTTCGGAGCTTCTCGGACTTCCGAAGTTCGTTCCAGGATAAAGACCCTTTTTCTCCTCCCCCTCGCCCCGCCCCTTGACCTCGCTTCCCGGTAATTGCTGGGATTCTGGTTCTCTGGAGGCTTTCTGGGCGGAGGGGTTGAGTGTAATTCAACTGGGTTATGATTACAGCTGCTTGTTCCCCGGTGCAGCAGACGGGTGTGTAAGGAGGGTAGGACCGGCCAGGCATGTGGAGATGCGCAAGATGTCTGGAGAGGGCAGTGGGGCTTTGTGCACGTTTTGGCTAGGGGTGAGGGTTGAGAGCCAGGGAGGAAGCAATCCTGAGCTCATCTTCCTGAAACCCACGGGCTGAGGTCCTCCAGGAAGCACTGGGGCTCAGCTTTTCCTACGTCGGTGCAGTTGGAGCACATACAGGAGGAAGGCTGGTGGCTCTGCCAGAACATTCTGAGGGCCTCGTTCTCACCGTACTCTGGGACCTGCAGTCCCATCTTCCATTTGGCGTCAGCCAGCGTGGTTAGTGTACACAAATCCCACTTGTTTCCTCCTTATGTCGCAGTTTTAAAATTTCTAATTAGTTCAAGAGCTGCTTGACTGCTCATTTACTTTCAGTTTTGCAAACAGGCTTACACCCCTTTCTCCTTCTGTTCTTCCTCCGGTCGGTCCCCCTTCCCCTCAATCTAGTTTCCCAAAGTTAGCAAACCTACTTTCTTGATTTTGTTTCTTAACATTTAAAACAACTGGTGAAGGAGCTAATGATTTCATCTCCTTACCACCACCCTTAACCTTAAAAGCAATAAAAAAAAGAAAAGCCCACCCTGCCAACCGCTTGCACAGGCGGCCAGCGGTGGTGCGGGTTTGTAGTTTGCATACACCTCGCGGGGGCAGAAGCACTGTAATACCTGTTTGCAAAGGCAGAAATGTAGCTAGCAGGGGAAGACGCTGGAAAAAACCAGAATGATTTGATAAAAACGTGCTGGGTCCTGTTACAGGAGGGCTGCTGGTAGTAACCTTAGGTACTAAAATCAGAAGGGGTTCGGGGGAGTAAAATTTTAAAAAGCAAACCCGCGGCGAGTCTTTCTTGCTGGGAGTGAGGGGCTCTGCAAAGTTTCTGGAACTTCAGAACAGAGGTCAACAAGGTCGACAAGGTTCACTGCTCTCCCGGAGACTACTGGGTGATCCAGGGTTCCTCTCTGAACCTCAGTTTCGTCTTTGGAAAAACGGGGATAGGAACATATTTCTGCTGCGGTCAAGAGCTTAAACGCTCCAATGTAGCTGAAGAAAATGTGCTTTGATGAGTGAGTTTAAAAAATGTGCAAAAAGAAACTGGTGTTACAAGGTGGTGTCAAGGGCGAGGCGGTAACAGTTTGTGTGACCCCTTGTCCCTTGTTGGAGCGCGCACCGCTCCCAAGTTATCCTCTGAGTCGCCAGAGCTACCGAAAAGCCGAAGGGAATAAGCAGGAGTGTTTCTCTATTTCCTTCATTGGGCTTCGCAAGAGGCTCTAGGAAGAAGCATCCCCACAAAAGGGAATCCCAATGCCTGGTCACCGGGGAGGAATTTTCCAGCATCACTAAGGGCTTGAGAATACCTGTGGTTCGGTAGCGTTAGTTTCACAGTAGTTCCTAAGCTGCCTTTGTTTCTACTTCTTGGAGCCAGGTTAACTTTTAACATTCTGACAAACTCGGAGAAAAGTAACGTTGGAGTTAAGACAGGAATTCCCACCCTTCAACAAATATTTGTTGCGGGCCTACTGTGTGCTCAGTGCAATGACACCCAATTTTGTAAAGTCTCCTAAACCGATCCTACTCTAGAGGTCTTGATTTTATTTACAGATGCAGCTAGAAAAGCGTCTCTCTTGTTTTAAATTTAGTTCAAGAAATAGAATGCAACGTTACATTAGAAGACTAATTCCTTCTTTTAATTTGTTGAAATTTTAACTTTATTGTTAAACATTTTGTAAAGGATTTTTTGAGGGAGTCGTTAGAAAGTCTATAGAACAATTATGCACACTAAAACGCTGTCATCTTTTAACAAAGTTTTGTTTAAGTGCATGCTTCCTAAATCTCTTAATAGCATGCATTTCTGATCGTCCCCAAATTAATTGTAGTAGCAACTGATACAGCAGAAAAATTAAGTGTCTTGTAGTTGACTTGGCCACCTGCCACATAGGCTTGGTGAAGGTTTATGAGGAACTATTTGGCACTAGACGCAGAAATATGGAAAGGCCATTTGTACGCTAACTAGGAGCTTCGGTGCCAGGTAACCGATGATGTACTCTTGCAGGAGAAAGAAGGAAGGATGTCTCTGTACGCCCCGATTGAGAGGAATCATTTTTACGCCCAGTTTGAATTAATGATTGATTGAGTCGCAGAAATACTTGTGATGCTGTTAGAGAGCAATACTGGCCTTTCTGATCTCTTCCTCGTCGTTTATTACTTTGTCTAGTGGATAACGCATTCCTAAGAGTGTATCTCTGCTTGTTTCCCAGTCCACGAGATAAATGGCCACTTCTCTCTCGCAGGTCCGGTCATACCTCGGGTTTAGACTCTGGAGAGGCGACCCGGCTGCACCGAAGGCCCCGCAGGCGGACTCTGGCGGAGCGGTGCAGGGAGGAGGATGTAGACCGCGGAGAGGCGGAGGGCGCCCGGCCGGCGTGCCTCGACCAATCAGTGTACACACCGCCTGACAACCGGCCAATCAGAGGACGTAAAGCTCTGGGCCGGAGTGGATAATACCAGAAAGGGGAGCGCAGTCTGGAGACCGAAGCCAGTGGTGCTGCGCTGAATGCAGCTGCGCGCGCCCGCCCAGTGAGCCCGCGATCTGAGCCAGGCGGGGGCGGCCCGACCTTTCCCGCCCAGCTTGGGTCAGAGGAAGCCGAAAGCGACCTCAGCAAGGTGAGGCGCCCAAGGCTGCAGAAGACCGAGCAGAACTTTGCAGAGTTCGGGATGTGCTGGGCTAGGTCGCTGAGGACTTGACTCGCCTCCTCCCACCTTCCCTCCACCTTCTCCCGCCCCTCCGCCATCCAGGGGGTTCGTTCCGGGTCTCCAGCTATCAGCTCCAGGTGTCGTGTTTGAGGGTAGCGACCCCGATTTCTGTTTGCATGCACAGCCAGCAGCCCTAGCGCCAGAACCTAAAGCTGGATATCTTTTGACTGGGCTACCAGCCCGGGTCTCAAAGTTTTGGTGAGTGTGAGTGCTGTGATGCCGCTCGGGGTGTCAGGGAGGGCAAAGGGCGTGAATCATCTTTCACCTTTTCTATTTGACTTGGATGCCTTGCCTTAAAGATGTAAACCAAGCCCTAAGTACAGAGGGCCCACGCGGCTCAGCCCTGTGCACCCTAAGTGCTATTGAGGCTGGGCGGGCATCTATAGCTTTGTGCTCTTTGCCCCTATGGGACTCTAATGACAGCAAAATTTTGCTTTTCAGTTAATTATTTTGGGGAGGAGGATTGAGAGGACCTCTTCGCCTCTTCGATCCCAAGGAGGGTTACTTGTGGTGGTGCAGGGTGATGCGAGGCATTCGGGAAGCATGGAGTGGTACTTCAGTGGGTCTGAAGGGTCCCTTGTAATCAAAAGAAAAACAGTTCTTCCACGGACAGTTTTATGTGCATCATGGCCGTACTGGTTGGGTATGCGGAAACCTGACAAGTGACCTGGGCCGGCCTCGTTGGACACAATGCTTTGTGTGTGTGATCAGTGAGTTACCCAGGGACTTGTCAGGAAAGCCTGTGTAAAGTCAGAGAGGGCTGCGGTTAAAGGTCAGGTGCTCACAGAGCGCTTAGAATTAATAAAATAAAACCTTTGTTGGGTTGTGGATCCCTGGGGGCCCTAGAGATACACTAAAGGCACGTGTGGCCTGGAAGGGAGGGTCGTGTAATGAGAACAGGATAACTCATGGGGCCGGAGGCGGGCAGACCGGGAGCTCTGGGTCGGAGGCTCAGGGATGGTCCCTGACAGCGGCCGGTGGGTCTTTGGATTTCTTTGTGTTTCCTCAGAGAGCGGGCCGCTGAGCTCAGGCCCCAGCGAGGCCCCGAGCGCCATGGCCGACCCGCAGGCTGGGTCGGCGCCCGGGGACTGGGAGATCGATGTCGAGAGCCTGGAGCTGGAAGGGGACGGCTGCCAGGCGCCGCGGTCAACGCCCCCCGGGGTCAGCCCGCCGCCGCCGGCGGACGGGGACGGAGAGGACGACGAGGATGACGACGAGGAGGACGAAGACGCGGAGGAAGAGGGCGACGGCGAGGAGGCGGGAGCGCCCCCGGGAATGCCCGGCCCACCGGAGCCGCAGCGGGGACTGCAGCCGAGGCCTCCGCTCGCGCCTCAGGCCCCGCCCGCGGGCACCGGGCCCCCAGAGCGCGGCACTCCTGCGGGCAGCGGCGCGGAGCCGCGCAAGCTGAGTCGCACGCCCAAGTGCGCGCGCTGCCGCAACCACGGCGTGGTGTCCTGCCTGAAGGGCCACAAGCGCTTCTGCCGCTGGCGCGACTGCCAGTGCGCCAACTGCCTGCTGGTCGTGGAGCGGCAGCGCGTCATGGCCGCCCAGGTGGCGCTCCGGAGGCAGCAGGCCACCGAGGTGAGTACTCGCCCGGCCCCGGACGCGCCTCGCAGGGGCGTCCCGGGCCACAGTGGAGGTGGGGGAGTTGGAGGGGACAGGGCAGGTATCCACATCCCCGCGCCCAGGGGCTTGCAGCGCCCGGCACTCCCTCGGAAGGATGGTAAGAACGCTTTTCTGTCTACATTGGCAGCAGGGTCGGGAGGGAGAAAGCAGGCATCTCTGGGGAACTTGGGAAATGTTTTTGTATTAAAAAGCAGGCAGAGAGGCCTCGAAAGTGATTAGGCCCATTTGGAACGTCGTGAGAAAATCAGTTTGCTGTTTTTTTTTTTTTTTTTTTTTTTTTTTTTTTTTTTTTTTTTTTTTACATTTAAAAGTGTGTTTTCGTGGTGTTGAGGGGCGGGATTGGAGGCTGGAGTGGTGGATCCACTCTCCACGGCGTGCAGCTCCACACCCTTCACTGCTGTACCAGTGATGGTCGAGGAAAAGAACACGCAGCACGCATGCACCCGGGGCTTCCGCGCTCACCTGGACGTTTGAGATCTCCAGAACACGCATTTTACAGATGAGACAAAACGTGCATGAGAAGTTAGATGCTTGCAGCCCAACGTCATCAATCCGAAGCTACTCTCCCTGTAAACTACCTGAGAGCACGTGCTTCCCACCGGAGGACTCCAGCTAAGAGGAGAGCCAGGGTTTTCTTTCCCAGAGAGGCTCTTGAACCTCTGATTTTGTATTTATTTCCTTGTGCGCCGGCGCAGGGAGAGCTCAGGCGGCGAGGCTTCACAGGGCCTCCCCCCAGACTCAGGACCAGGGAGGATTTTTTATTTTACTTTTTGGCGAAGAGGAGCTGGGGAGTAAGCGGATCGCTAAAGGCAGCGATCTGGAAAGCCTCTCGAGGGCCGAGGAGAGCGCGCTGGATGCCAAAGACACCGGATCCTGGGCTTGGTCTCCCCCCGCGTCCTGCACGGGTTGTCGCCGGCCCTGCGTTCCCACGCGTTCTCCGCGGCATATGCTGGGTAGGGCGCGGGCGTGGGAGGGCCCAGAATCCCACCAGCTGGCGGTGATGCGGCGGCGAGGGCGGGCGTCCGTTATGCGAAAATCTGGAGTTTGCAGCCAGACCCGGGAGTAATAGCAGGCCTTGGGGTACCATCTACCCAACACGTGGGCGCCTAAAACCCTGCAGGGCTGCAACCATTTCTTGAGGCCGGGCTTCTACAGCCTCCCCGACTAGGGATTTCACTTTTTCACTTACCTCCGGGATGTCCCTTCACTTCTGCCCGTGTAAAGGTCTGCGTAGTGAGTCTGGAGTGTCTGTGCTGGAGAAAGCAGGGGGCCCAGCTCACCAGCTGGCCGGAGGTTCCAGCGCCTTGCCCTAGGATTAAGGGGTGCTGATATTAATTCGTTTGTAATTATTTTTCACACGGAATGGGAAACTTCAATACATTTAGAAGGGGGAGAGTTTCTAGAAGATTTACTGACATCCCGTCCTTCCCCCGTCTCGCTCACATTTTCTTTCAGGGCATTATTTTTGATGATGTTTCTTGTGTTTACAGGACAAGAAGGGGCTTTCTGGGAAACAGAATAATTTCGAGCGCAAAGCTGTGTACCAGAGGCAAGTCAGAGCCCCCAGTTTGCTGGCCAAAAGCATTTTAGAAGGTAAAGCAACAAAATTATCCTTCAGCCTTTTAAACCGAGTTGAGTGACTCTCATTAATCAGGCACAAAGTGTATTTATTAATCTGTTAAAGTGCTGTCTAAAGGGAAGGTACTTTTTATTAGAAACGTTTTGTTTAGGTGTTCGCTGAGCCCATACGCTAAAACAGAACCCAGACAGAGAAGATTAGCCTGGCCCCTGAGCCAGAGAGTTTTCCTCTAGGAAGGAAACCACCACCTGGGAAAATGAATCTCACATACCTGCTGAGGTTTTTGTCACCACCAGTTTAAGAATCCCTAACATTTAGTTGTCTGCTTAGTGGTTCATGGGTTAATATGGAGTGCATGTGAAATTTACCCTGTGTGAGGATGTACAAATATATACTGCCAAGTGATCCTGGAGCAGATGTCTTGGAAGGAAATAAATAAAGCAAAACAAAACAAAACAACATAACCACCTCTACTTTTCTTAGTTTTTGGAGATGAATAGATTAAGTCAAGTGAGGAATTTAACAGCTGCCCACAACTAATAAAGACCTTTAGTCTGGAAGTTCAACCTCAGATTCCACTCTTTTTCATGTACTTTTTTTTTTCCCTCCTGGATTACTTAATTCCTGTGATTCCAAACTTCATTTTACCATTTTTGACAGTCAAGGTTATAGAATCTGAAAAAGGTTTTGAATCCAGCAAGTGAAGTGGAGGTTGAACGCAAACAGTGTGAAATCTCTTTCTCTCTCCATACTCTCACTTTCATGAAAGCCTGTGGATACATTAATTTTTCTTAAAATATTACTCAGTTTTTAAAGCATCTCTACTTGGGTATGGAATTTATTTACTGACCTTCTCAATAACATATTGGCTATTTTTAACCGTTTTCCTTTAAAATTTAAAAAATATAAATAAGGGAAAGTTAACGTTTGCTTTAATCACTGCCACTTCATTAAATTCAGCTTGAAAGTAAACAAAATTTTTTAAGTAAACATTTGGATTCTGTTTTTTTTTTTCTTGTATGGCTTCTGAATTTTGTTGGTTCTGGACAGGTTTTGAAGTTGGTGTGTGTCCCATCATGTGTTGTATACCTCTGACCTTATAGTGGTTTCTTATGCATTAAAAATAAATTTGGTTACAAACTGGATAAACAGATTTATAATAATAGGGCCACATTGATAAACTGAACTTGTGCCAAAGCAACTTGAGCAGTGCGAGGACTAAATGGAATGGTAAATTCAGCTAAATAACTTTCTGGCAAAAACTTACCATAGAAATGGAAACATTAATTTTCAAATTTTATTTTATTTTCAAATGAGTATGGTGGGTTTGTCACTATGTAAATACAAATATAACAGTGGACCCTTCAAACAAATTTAAGAGAGGTGAGTACTTGGGGATAATAAAATTCTCCGAGTATTTTATCCCCATACTCTGCGTATTTTATGCCTCTTGGAATTCTATTTATGTTACACTAATCTTTGTTTTTGACTTTGTTACTATTCATGCGATGACTGAGCCTGTATTCTAATGATTGCTTGTTCAACCATTTTGGTATCTGGCCAAAATGATTAGAGCTTGGGAAAAATGTTTTAGAACAGTTATTTTCAATAGAAGAGGGAATACTCCCCCCACTTTTTATGGGTTTTGTTTTATTTTGTTTTGTTTGTACTGGTAGTCAGGGGAAGGGGCCTGGTTAAATTGTTCACTGCAGAGCGTGTTTGACTAATTAACAACTCTTTTCAATTTTCTATGCTTCTCTATTTCCTGAACTCTTTTTTTTTTCTTTTCCACTCACTAATCTCCTTTAACTTTCTTTCTTTCTTTCTCTTTTTTCCTAGTTCCCCTTGGATTATTCTACAGCTATTACAGTGTGTACATAATGAACCATCTTTAGAAAATAAAAGTGACATCAGCTCTAGGTATAGATATATTTTTAATAATAAAAAGATGACATGGATAATAATAAAACATTGATTGACACAAGATGAATAGTCTTGTCTCTTAATGCATAGGGCGCCTTGGAAAAATATTAAAATTTTGATCAATAAAGTATGCCTTTTGAAGCAAGCAAGCAAGCAAACAAATCTATAACAACAAGAACAACAGCAGCAATAACACCACCAACAGGTTGCAATGTGGACATCCTTCACCCTCCCAGGAAACTATTTTAAACCTAACCTGTACTTTTGCATTCTGTATAAAAATATTAGTGAGATAAAACTGTAAATAATTGTTCTGCTGATTTGTAGTGTTGCTGTTGCGTTCTGGGTTTCCAGATTTTTCTTCCGTAGATGTCAGTCTCTTTCATGTGCAATCTTTGCTTCTTTTAGGCTATCGCCCCATTCCAGCAGAGACTTATGTAGGAGGGACCTTTCCTCTACCTCCCCCAGTTAGTGACAGGATGAGGAAAAGAAGAGCCTTTGCTGATAAAGAGTTGGAGAACATTATGCTGGAGAGAGAATATAAAGAAAGGGAGATGTTGGAAACGTCTCAAGCTGCTGCCCTGTTCCTGCCCAACCACATGGTGCCTGGACCTGACTACAACTCCTTCAAAAGTGCCTATAGCCCCAGCCCAGTGGAACCACCAAGCAAAGACTTCTGTAATTTTTTGCCCACCTGCCTTGATTTAACCATGCAGTATTCAGGGTCTGGGAATATGGAACTAATTTCTTCTAATGTCAGCGTGGCCACGACTTACAGACAGTATCCCTTGTCCTCGAGATTTTTAGTTTGGCCCAAGTGTGGTCCCATTAGTGACACCCTCCTCTACCAGCAATGCCTGCTAAATGCCACCACCTCAGTTCAAGCCCTGAAGCCTGGGGTCAGCTGGGACTTGAAGGGGCCACGAGTCCAGGATGGACTTAGTGCAGAGCACGACATGATGCCGTCCAAATTGGAAGGCTCCCTGGTGCTGCCTCACACTCCTGAGATCCAGACCACGAGAAGTGACCTTCAGGGTCATCAGGCTGTCCCAGAGAGGTCCGCGTTCTCCCCACCCCAACGGAATTTCTCTCCTGTTGTTGACACGGACTCCCTGGCAGCTCAAGGGCACGTCTTAACGAAGATCAGCAAAGAAAACACCAGGCACCCTATGCCACTTAGACATAATCCATTCCACTCATTATTCCAGCAAACGCGTAATGACAAATCGGGTCCTGAGTTGAAAATACCATTTGTCAAAGAGGCCTTTGAAGAGACCCCTAAGAAACACAGAGAGTGTTTAGTTAAGGAGAACCAGAAGTACACATTTACAATAGACAGATGCGCAAAAGACCTTTTTGTAGCCAAACAAGTTGGAACAAAACTCTCGGTGAATGAACCACTGTCATTTTCTGTTGAGTCTATTCTTAAGAGGCCTTCATCTGCCATCACTCGTGTTTCTCAGTGAAAGGCTGCTTAAACAGAAAGCTGGATTTTCTGCAGTCTCAGAGTGTTCTTGCCATTCACTATTTTTTTTCAAAGTTAAGATGTTTGTGTAAAGAAATTTCTAATGTAAAGATGATTTTGAAAAATTTTATATATTCATAATATGCATGTACTTTTTCTTATCACATATATTTAAACTTACGGATGGAAATTGCCCAATGTGCAAATTGTTAAGTACCATGCTTTACACAACATTTCAAAAAGCAATAAAATTGACACCGTCTTCTAAATGACCCAGTATTTGCTGAAGCAAATAGCAGTCTCTGTCTAGATGAAGAAGCTATTTTTCTATGATTCTGAATATTTTGAAGTACCCTTAATGGCCACTGGGGGCCACAGGAAAACCTTTATAGTATTTTAGTTTTGCATTTTGGAGGGCACATTAATTATTCAGGACTGTTTGAGGCAAAAATAACTTTAAGGAGAACACAGGGGCATTTGCTTATTTACAGCATCTTCAGGACAAAGCTGAATTAATTTGCAGGGAAATCAAGTGTAATGTCTCTTTCAGATGATGATTTGGGTTCTTGGAAGAGATTTCTTTTGACTCCCTGGGTCGCAGTTTCTTTCCCTGGTGAGGATGTTTATGTGGGGCCCCCAGCTTCCTTCCTAGAAACATTTCTAGTTTCTTTGAACGGTCTATGATTTTAGGTTGCTAGGAGCCACAAATCAGGTTTCCTTGTAAGATGTGCTCAGTGCAGCCCATGATGGGGTCCAAACCTCCTCTCAGCTCTTGCATGAGCCCACTGTTTTTGAATCACTGGTGACAGCAGGCATTTGGACACAGGCCCAGTCACAACTCTTATTAGGTCCCCAAGTATCAGCTTTATGCCTCCCACATTTGCACCACTGTCAAAGGCCTTCAGTGTAGCTCTCTTCTGACACAAAAACGTTTACTATTCAAATTGTTTCAGCTGACAGTTGCTGAAGCATGCAGATATTTATCACAGCATGAGGGTAACTTCTGATTCTTACACTTTTTCTCCCCCACCTCCTCTTTTTTTTGATACAAGGTTTCATTTTGCAGGCCAGGCTGGAGTGTAGTGGTGTGATCATGGCTCACTGCAGCCTCTACTTCCCAGGCTCAAGCGCATGCCTGTAGTCCTAGCTACTCAAGGTGCTCCACCTTCCAGGCTCCACCTCAGCCTCTTAAGTAGCTTGGACTACAGGCATGTACCATTATGCCTGGCCAATTTTTAAATTTATTATTTTTTTGGATTATGTGTAGAGGTAAGTTTTAAAAATTTTTGGAAGAAACAGGGTCTCCCTATGTTTCCCAGGCCTGTCTTGAATACCTGGGCTCAAATGATCCTCGTGCCTTTGCCTCCCAAAGTGCTAGAATTACAAGTATGAGCCACTGCACCCATCATTTCTCCCATTTTTTAGTTCTTATTAATCCCTTGTTTTGTTCAGTAAAATGTTAGCTGTTGTTCCATGTAATTGATAAAATAAGAGTAAGACCTTTATGAGAGTACTAAGTTCATCTCTTAAGACCTCACCTGTGGACCCCAAGTTAAGTTTTAAGATGCCGTAGTTATTCCAATAGAGAAAATCAAGAGTCAAGTATCTCGCTTTTAATACTGCCACAGTGGGAGGTTTTACTTCAAACTCTGCTGCTGTCTTCTGGGTAACAAGAACACGAGGTAGGTATGTGGAAGGTGCCAAGTGATTCAGCAGTGTAAAGAGTTTCTTTCTGGCTCTCGAAAACACTTCGAATTACTTAAAAGTGACTTTGCTACTAATGAGCTCATGTAAACCTCCAGGATTCTCTGAATTGTTGCTTAAAATTAGCATCAATTTCAAAAAACAACTAGCCAAACCTTGGGTTGACTTTCAGTTTGTGCTTGTAAAATAATACTTGGTTTTACTGAGTCAAATTTGTTATTTTTATTATTGCAAAAGTCAGAGTGAATGGAAGTTTGCCAGAAGGAAAGGATATGAAAACAGGGAGAGATTCCAATAACTTTTAAAGATTATCATTAAGTGGAAAAAATGTTTTCCAGCCAAGTATGCCCTGATGTCAGAGACAGAATCTAACTCCAGTTATCCCTCCCAGTCATCTCTGCTTTGTATAGAAGCATTAATTTATGTCTTTCTATCAGAAACTTATTTTTTGTTTCAATTGTTAAATGTAACCTCAGCATTGAATTAAACTGCTTCAAAGGTAATGAGGGTAACTGTATTAGAATACAAGCACATGAAAAATCTCAGTGAGAGGCCTTCTTAATGTAAACATGATTTTGATCTCTTACTTGCTCCACTTTTGTGTTTTGAATACTTATATTTGTTAAGATGTTTCTCTTTTGTATTCAGTGAACACATGGGGACTTCTTTTCTGTCCTCTCTCTCTGTATCATTTTAATCCCGTTAAGTGAATCCAGTTGGCTGTGGGTATTAGTGGTTTTTCTCACATTACCAGTTTCCAGAATTTTATTGTTCTTGAACATTTATGAGGGTCAGTACTTCCCCTGGCAAATTTATTATTATACTATGCATTAGTTCTGCTGTAATAATGAGTTCATTGAATTTTAAGCTACCAACTCTCCCATCGGCCATTTATTAAGAGCTTTGCGCTTGGCTCTCTGTTTTTCAAAATGATTTCACTTCCATGAAAGTGGCACGTAGAATCTTCAGAAAATATTGTCATTGACATTAAATCAAACTTGTGGTTCACTTTAAGCATTTTCTATGTTGAAGGCAATAAATGGATACAGTTTTAATAATATTTGAGAATGTAAAGAACAGTAAAACATGGACATTTTTTTTCTCAGTTGAACTCACAATAGAATAATACAGCTCTAATGATGTGTTGTTGTCTTTCCATCTCAACTGATCAATTGTGATCGTTTGCTGAATTTGCAGTTCTTGAAAGTTTACAACAGTGCTTCTCGAACTAATGGACAAATAAACCACCTGAGAATCCTGATACTGCTGGGTTTCAGGCCATGCTTAGAGTAGCAAATGTTTACAGCATATCTGGTATTTCAATGCACATTTAATATTATCTGCTGTGAATTTTGAATTGTAATGAAGTAATCATAATATTACTAGCATGAATAATTTAATGTATGGAAATAGTTAAAAAAACATTTTTCTTTCTTTCTTTTTTTTTTTTTTTAAGATGCAGTATCACTCTGTTGAGCAGGCTGGAGTGCAGTGGTGTGATCCCAGCTCACTGCAACCTCCACCTCCTGGGTTCAAGCGATTCTCCTGACTCAGCCTCCAGAGTAGCCAGGATTACAGGCGCCTGCAATCATGCCCGGCTAATTTTTGTAATTTTAGGAGAGATGGGGTTTCATCATGTTGGCCAGGCTGGTCTCAAACTCTGGACCTCAAGTGATCCACCTGCCTTGGCCTCCAAAGTGCTGGGATTACAGGCATGAGCCACCACACCTGGTGGCCATTTTCCGTTTTCACTAAGCCTAGACCAAGACCTAGGCAAGTCATACAGCAGACAATGCCTGCCCCCCACCATCTCTTTTTTTTCTCACAAACCTGGAAGTTTTAATCTGGTTAAAAATATAATATGCATCTTTTATTTTAATTGCAGGAAGACATAAAATTTTCCATCTTAACTATTTTTAAGTGTACAGTTCAGTGGCCTTAAGTACATTCATATTGTTGTGCAATCATCACCAGCTTCCATGCACATAACCCTTTTCATCATGCAAAACTGAAACTCTATACCCTCAATAACTCCCTCCCCTCCCAGCTCCTGGCAACCACCGTTCTACTTTCTGCCTCTGAATTTGACTACTCTGAATACCTTATAAAGGGCAATCATGCAGTATTGTCTTTTTTCAGTACCTCATAAAAGTAAAATCAGACAGTATATATCTTTTTGTGATGGCTTATTTCACTTAGCATAATGTGCTCAAGGTTCATTATGTTTTAGCATATGTCAGAATTTTCTTCCTATTTAAGACTGAATAGTATTCCACTGTGTTTGTGTGTGTGTGTGTGTGTGTGTGTGTGTGTGTGTGTGTATGTATGTGTTTAAACTGCTTCAAAGGTAATGAGGAGAAAGCTATTACAATAAAAATGCATTAAAAAAACTCACTGAGAGGCCTTCTTAATCAAAACATGAATTTTATCTCTTACTTGCTTCATTTTTGTATTTTGAATACTAGCAGTTGTTAAAATGTCTCTCTTTTGTATTCAGTGAACACATGGGAACTTCTTTTCTGTCCTCTCTGTCTGTATCATTTTAATCCCATTAAATGAATCCAGTTGGCTTACTCTACTTACATGAGGTACTTTCCTTATATAAGGTACTTTTCCTATCCCAAACTCATCAATTAGGTAAGTTATATACACACACTGTATGTATACTTTATATATATACACACACACTGTATATATTTAGATATATACGCACACAGACACACATACGCAGATACACACAAACACAGTGGAATACTGTGTGTATGAGTGGAAATGGTGTATAAGTAGATATATATACACACACGTATTTATATGTATATATACACACATACATACATACACATACAGTGCACACATGCACACATAAACTTTTGTTTATCTAGTCATCGGTTGATAGACACTTGAGTTGCATCCAGCTTTCAGATATTTTAAATAATACTGCCATGAACAAGGATGTCCAAATTTTTTTTGAAACCCTGCTTTCAGCTCTTTTTGGTATAAATGCCCCTTCTCTTCACCCTGTTCTCACTTCCTAGTTTCGCCTGCTTCCTGTCCTTAGGAACTGAGGTATCTCAGGCATACATTCCTCCCACACTATCTCCTCTCTTTCAGTGTGTGGACCATTTCCACTCAACACTGCTATTACCCAGAAAGGCTCCAGTATCAGTTGTGTACCTCTTAATATGAGTTTAAATGAGATCTTCACTTAAAAGCTTAATTCCGGCTGGGCGTGGTGGCTCATGCTTGTAATCGTGGGAGGCCGAGATGGGTGGATTTCAAGGTCAGGAGTTCGAGACCAGCCTGGCCAATATGGTAAAACCCCGTCTCTACTAAAAATACAAAAATTAGCCAGGGGTGGTGGTGAGTGCCTGTAGTCCCGGAGGACTACTCAGGGACTACTTCAGCTACTCAGGAGGCTGAAGCAGGAGAATCACTTGAACCCGGGAGATGGAGGTTGCAGTGAGCCGAGATGGTATCACTGCATTCCAGCTTGGGCAACAGAGCAAGATTCCATTA